GGGAGTGGCCACTGCACTCCAGTCTGGGTAAGAGTGAGACTCCAACTCAAAAAAAAAAAAGAAGGCCAGGTACAGTGGCTCACGCCTATAATCCCAGCATTTTGGGATATCGAGGTGAAAGGATTGCCTGAACCCACGAGTGCGAGACCAGCCTGGACAACTTGGTGAGCCCTTATCTCTACAATAAATCAAAAGAGACCTTGTTTTAGCTACATAAAATATAGGTTGCCTTGGACCATTCATATAATTATGATCATGAATATTTTTTTTGTCTTTGGGCTAATAATGGACTTAGTAATTTCATCCCTTTTTAAGGTTCAAGTTTATTGTGAAGATGATTTTCCATTTACAGATGCAAAAGGAGCCACCTGAACTCAACTTGCATGGCATTGCAGCCACCATCACATTACAAGACATTGTAAAAGATGATGTTTACCTTGGCATCCTGTAAACATTTTGTACGCTGTTAAAATGAGAATTTCCAATCACAGGCCTTTAAAATCACAGGTAATTCAACGAGGGTGGGACTAGTAAATGTTTAACATAAGACAAGGAACACTATTTCAGTCATACCCAAAAGAACTAGAATTTCAAAAACTTCACTGTGCTACCTTTCATAAGCACATAGTTGTGATTTCTAAACTTGAAACGAATATAAGGCCAATTGCTTGAAGGAATCTAAAAACAAAATATTGCTCTTCTATTTTCCTTTTAATTCTTGTCCCCAAGGACAATGTCATTCAATCTTAATTCGATGGGCCTGATTACCCTGAGGAATTTTCCATAGCCCTTTCTTCCCCTGTCTTTCACTGGTTGCCTTTTTGAACTTTGTTCTACAAGTAGAGCTTCCAGAGGGTTGTCAAGAACTCAGTAGTCAAACTCAAATCATTCCATTCTGGTGCCCATTATCTGCTCAAACAGAAGCCTCTGGGAGGAAAATGGGACTAAAATTACCTGTTTGTATAATCTGAGCACAGTGGCCCAAAATATCCCAATCACCATGTTTCCCAGATACTTTCAGTGGGGATAGAGGACATTCACAATATTTTGAATACTCAATATTCAGAAGTTATAAATTATTTAGACACACCCAGTGAAATAGACACAACACTGTCTATCCTTCCCTCAAAAGAAACAGGCATATCAGGTGGATTGAAATCCATCACAGTATTAACAGTGATGTTACTATGATTAACTTTCTTCTTTATACTTCATTAACTCATTAAACAGACGTTTATCAGGAGCTTACTTTGTGAGAGGCACTGGGTTTAGAGTGAAGACAAAATTGACAATTGTACCTCACTTTGCAAAAAAGGACAAAATTGGTCCTTTTTAACCAGATCTTCTATAATAATCATGCATTACTTTTATAAAGTAAAAGAAACAAATATTGAAAACACCAACTTCATATATATTATCAAATCCTCTAAAATGATATCTCTAAGTTTCCATAAACATTTCTCCAAGAAGTGTTGCTTTAAAAAGAAAAATGTGATTAAAACTCTTACCTGTGATGATCTTTTGTGCTGGGTATGACTTTGTTACATTCTCTCTTGTCAAATACTCCTTCGATCCAGGATTTCTGGGACTGAACAGAAAGTGGCATTATTTTATACTCTAATTATATGAGAAAACAGTATAACTACAGTAGTTCATTTAAGTAAGAAATATTTAAGTATCATGGATTCTGTTTTGTTTGTTTTTTTTAATTTTTTTGAGTCGGAATAGCGCGCTTACAGCCACCACAGCCTTGGGCTCAGGTGATCCTTCTACCTCAGCCTTCCAAGTAGCAAGAACTACAGGCGTGCACCACCATGCCCGGCTGATTTTTTTACTTATTGTAAAGACAAGGTCTTGCCACGTTGCCCAGGCTGGTCTCCAACCCCTGGGCTCAGGCAATCCTCTTGCTTCCACCTCCCTAAGTGCTGGGATTATAGGCTTGAGCCACCATGCCCAGCAGTATTATGGATTCTAATTAAAATGTCAAGACCAATCCCAAACAGGCTAAGCATTTACCAGCTTCTACTGCAGATAACATAGGCACAAATAAGCCAAATGGGAACATTAAAATATGCACAAACTGGTCCATAATCCCACCTTGAATAACAAGATCGCTAAATGCATAAACCTCTAGCAACCAAGTAAACATAACTGTCCCTAAATCCAAGTGGGACATTGGTACTCACCCTTCCTCCTAATAAAATTTCTCCCATTCTGCAAAATTCAAGTCATACCCTACCTCCTCCATAAACTGTATTATAAGTCTAGAGGCAGAAGACATTGGATCTGTCATAGAACCCAACTAACTAATAAGCTTTGCCTTGTCCTAATATGAAAATATTTGGACTCTATATGCTATAAGATTATGTATAACTTTATACACATATTAGAACAGAGATGAAAGAGAAGATTTCGCTGGGCAAAATGGCTCACAACTACAATTCCAGCACTTTAGGAGGCGGAGACAAGAGGATTTCCTGAGCCCAGGGGTTCCAGACCAGCCTAGGCAACTTGGCAAATCTCTATATTAAATTTAAAAATTGGTCAGGCGCGGTGGCTCACGCCTATAATTCCAGCACTTTGGGAGGCAGAGGTGAGAGAATTTCCTGAGCCTGTGGGTTCGAGACCAGCCTGGGCAATTTGGCGAGACCTCATCTCTACAATAAATTTTAAAAAAAAATTAGCTGGGCATGGTGGCGCATACCTGTAGTTCCAGCTACTTAGAAGGCTGAGGCAGAAGGATCACCTGAGCCCGACAGGTCGAAGCTACGGTGGCCAGGAGTGTGCCACTGCCCTCCAGCCTGGGTGACAGAGAGACTCCAACTCAAAAAAAGAAAAAAGAAAAAAAAAAAGAAGAAAAGAAAGGGAAGCTTTCTACAAGGGGCTTTTTCAAACATCAGTGCAGCCTCCACCTCACTCTTATACCTACTCCAATCCTACCATGGAAGGACATGCAGTAGGCCAGAAAATATTGCAAATTTAGCTATAGCACCTCATTATCACACTAGACTCTGGTCTCCTGATGATTACAAATGAAGAAGCTTATGAAAACTTTACATAGGTCAATGGATCTTGTCCAGTATGGATCTCATCCAATAAGTGCCAATCCTGAACTGAAGTGCTCAACACTGACTAGAAATGTGGATAGGTTTGGCTGGGCTCAGTGGCTCAGTCTGTAATCCCAGCACTTTGGGAGACTGAGGCAAATGGATTGCCTGAGTCTGAGGGTTCGAGACCAGCCCGAGTGACTTGGCAAGACCTCATCTCTACAATAAATCAACAAAACTAGCCAGGCGTGGTAGCATGCGCCTGTAGTCCCGGCTACTTGGAAGGCTGAGGGGAAGGATTACCTGAGCCCAGCAAGTCGAGGCTGCGGTGGCCGTGAGCCTGCCACTGCACTCCTGCCTGGGCAACAGAGTTAGACTCCAACTCAAAAAAAAGAAAGAAAGAAAGAAATGTAGATAGCTTTATTGTCCAGGTATGGTGACTCATGCCTGTAATTCCAGCATTTTAGGAGGCCAAGGAAAGAGGATTGCTTGAGCCCAGGGGTTCAAGACCAGCCTAAGCAACATAGCAAAATCTCAACTCTACAAAAATAAAACTAAGCCGGGCTCGGTGGCTCAGCCTGTAATCCCGCGCCTTTGGGAGGCTGAGGTGAGTGGATTGCCTGAGCCCGCGGGTTCAAGACCTGCCTGGGCAGCGAGACCTCATCTCTACACTAAATCAAAAATCAGCCGGGCGTGGTAGCACATGCCTGTAATTCCGGCTACTTGGAAGGCTGAGGTGGAAGGATCACCAGAGCCCAGCAGGTTGAG